TGGAGCACAGGATTCACCTGAATACCATGCCCAGCTTTTGAGAAACATTCTTTGCTTTCCTTAAACCTACATAGTTCTGACCAGCACTGACCACATGCCTATTTTACCTAGCTCTCCCGCCCTGGCCCACAGGGTGGCAGGGTCTTGCCGATGCGGACTAACACACACCTTCCAAGGCAAACACCCTTTCCTGTCCCACTGGCCAAGTTCTAACACCCAGCCCAGCCTCCTGTGCCAACCACACAATCAGGAACAGCCTCACTGGGGCAGCTGTGTGGAGATAGTATTAAGCTCCAACAGCCTCAGGATTTTCAAATTTCTTAAGACAATGCTCTGTGCCACAGAGAGGTTCTCCCAGGTCCACTGGCAGTTCTGAGAATTCCCGAAGTGACAGGCTGCAGCAGCTCAGCTCTGGGAAGTGACAAAGCCCTCAGTGTCTGTAGAGGGTGGGGGGAAACAAAGTCACCTAACTTCGTTCACACCCATTTCACCACCACTTTCTCCTCCCACAGGAAAGAAGTGTTCCAGTCCTTGGGAAGGAGCCACAGTGCTGAGATTATCTCTTAACACATGAAAGTGAGAACACGTGACTCGGCAAGTCTGCAAGTGAGAGTCCCCTCTCTTCAGCATCACCACCTTTGCCAGCCCCCCACCCATCAGTGCCTAGTCTGGGGAAATCTGACAGAGGAGCCTTGGAGGAAGGCAGCCCTGGCATTTGGCGGGGTAGTGTGACTTTTAGTGGCCTGCTGAGAAAAGAAGTAGACTGAACAATGCCTCCCAGTAGCTCTCCAGCTTTTTTTTTTCCTCATTCTGTTTATTGGTACTTTTTAGCTATACAGTACAGTTATATTCATCTCTGGGATCTTGTACCTTTACGCGATGTATTTTGGTTCTTATTTCTTCCCGGCTCTCCAGCTCTTTATCACTTGACTTAGTGAGAAACTTTTGGAGACAGACACCCTGAAATCCTGTCGAAGTAGGGCCCAGGTACCCAGAGAAGGCGGAGTAGGAGCACCTAACTGACAGGGGAATTGAAGTTGGGAAACGGGTGCTTGGCTTACAGTTTCCTGCTTCCTGCTGGAAGTTTGGTAAGCCTCAGCCACACTCTTGTGACTTAACTTTCCTCTCAGCTCCTCCTTTGCAGGAAGTTTTTAATCCCAACTGCAACTGAACATGAAAAATGGTCAGAAAAGCCTGTGCCCACACTGTGGGGTAGAGGCAGAAGCAAGGGCCTGAGAAAGACTTTGGATGAGGAAGTCAAGGTACAGACTCTCTGGGGGTTTCCCTGGCTTTGCCAAGAGTGAATAGATACAGGGTTTTCATGGCTGAATAACTCTGAGAAATGCCAGGCAAATAAAGCTGAGCAGATGTCTTTATTGAAGGATTTCTCAGAGCCCTGACAAAATTAACACCTTGTTGAT